GGGCCGCGCTCAGCCTTTCTTCCGCAGGGGGGCCATGTGGCGCGGCCAGCAGGACAGCCCTGGCACTGCCGGGAAGGAGCGGGACCAACTCCGGGCTACAGGACCGGACCGGAAGCGGTTCTGTCTTCGAAGTGCCAGCGGTGTCCCCGTGTCCCAGTTACCGGGGGGGTTGGGGGGGCGATCCAGTCCCTCTCGGGAAAGCCTGGTCTTCCGGGCCCGACTCAGGCTTGGCACGGGCACGGAGCGCCTGCTTCCTCTCCTCAGGATCCTGTTCGGCGCGTGTGAACGTGCGAGTATACAGGGGGCTAGCAGTTCGGAACGGCCGGAGCAGCACCGGTTCCGGTTCCGGAATGTAAACGCGCTGCTGATGCAGGAGCCTCTTCCTGTGTCCCGGACACCCAGGCGATCACCTGCGGCAGCATCTCGCGGGGCGCGGGCCCCGGCCCGCCTGGCAGACCGGCTCGGATCGCCCTGCTTGCCGTGGCGCTACACGCACTCAGAGCCACCCGTCCGGTTTAGGGGTGGTATTTACGGAGAAACCTCGCGCTGCGACTGGCTTTCCTTCATGCTACAGTGCCAGAGGGCATGAACGTGTTTTTCCGTGCGGCTTGTGTGCGTGTGCGCATACACGGAGACAGACAGCCCTCAGCCGGCAGTCCGGTCGGCACCGGCCGCACACGGAGAGGTGAGCACTCCGGCACAGAAACACCGCCTTACGGCATTCAGCTTTCCCTCCACCCCGTGTTTGTCGCCTTTTAAACCAAAACCTTACTATCATCGGCATCAACAGTCATTTATAGAATATTTCGTCCCCCACAAGAAGCGAGCATACACGGTTTTCCCCCGCGACGGCGATCAGATCACGCCGGGTAACATCCAGTGGGCTCCGCCGAGCCCCTCGTCCGCATCCACTGCCGCCCGCTTGTCCCAGCCCGGCGCTGACTGCAGCCAAACCCGGAGTCCGTCTTGTTTGCTGATGCCTTGGAAAAATTAGGAAATAGCCCAATATCCTCTTTTCACTGGCTTGTTTATCCCTTATTATAATAACCGCTCCGAGAGAAGCCGGTCCACCATCTCTCGCAAAAGGTGACTCTGATTATACACCGGGAGCCTCAGTCGCTTCTGGGGTTCCCAGTCGGCTTGGTCCCCGCATCTCAGATGGTCGATATCGACAAGAAGGTGAATGAAATCCTCTTAGCGTCCCTCGGTGCACGGGCGTGCGTCTCAGCTGCCCCCTCTCTCTCGGAAGAGATTTATTCCCGTCTCGCCCGGCTTGCGGACAATGCAAAGCGGTTCTTCCCCCGTGCCCCGCTGGCGTGTGAAACGCACGGCTGTCGGTTTGTCCAGCGGCTCACGGCTGTGGCGATGTCCCCCATTCAGCTGTCAGCTGCTCCGGCTGACATTGTACACGGGGGGGGGGGTGGAGAGGCGCGGGGAGTTCTGGGAAGTGTAGTCAACAAACCGCAGTACGGCCACTCGGTAACTCTGCCCGGATACAGCACTCGCATTCGGAGAAAAAAAATGATAAGTATGATGAGTAATGGGGAAAAGAACACGGTGCTTGTTTGTTTTCCTTCAGTGACGGTGCTGAAGGCGCGCCCTGTTTGTTTTCCCGGGGTGAAGGCGTCCTCTTCCCCGGCGGTGCTATCCGATGGGAAGACCGAGCGCGTCTCTGCAGGTGGAGAGACACCTGTGACCCCCCTCCCCGCCGCTCACTTCCTGCTGCGGCTTCCGGGTGTCACCTCTAGCGGGGATTCGTGTCCAAGGTCCACCTTCAAAACAACCCCCCCCGGGGCCATCGCCCTGCAACGGTGCGGGTCAGCTCCGCGCTCTGCTTTGCCTTTGGTCTTTTTTGTTCCGATGAGGTCACAATGTGTACTGCTCGCCCCGAGCAAGACCTGTCAGCTTCACTCTGTTTCATTCAGCCGCCCTGCACTCCGACCTGTACCGGGGGGGGGGGTTGGGTGTCCTCCTGTCTCCTCCTTTCCCGGTTTCCAAGGGGATGCTGTCTCCGGTTGGTGGAGCCTCACCGGTTTCTAAGGCAGCACTGTCTCCGGATTGGCTGATCGCGCCTCCCGGAGAGCTCGCCTATTGGTGAGTAGTGTTGATTGACAGGAGACCGGAGGGCAGGTGATAGTGGGGGGGGGGGGGCTCAGTCTTCAGGGCGGGGAGGAAATTCTGTCGCGTGCGCGCGCACACTCGCGAGAGGCGGCGTGTACCCGCGCGGAAACGTGTCGATTTTACCAGAACGGTGATTCTCATTTCGGGACACCCTAAGTTATAGATAACTCGGATACCTGAAACGTATGGCAATCATCTAAAAAAAATCACGAGAAGAAGGCTCTACAGCCGAAACGTTGTGTTTCTTTTCTTCGGTTTTCAGCATGGGATAAACCTCTATTTGATACTTTGCAACTAGATTTTATGTTTTATTTATTATGCCCTGCAAGCATAATAATAATAATAATAATAATAATAATAATAATAATAATAATACAAATCTTCTATTTAGCGCCTTTAAAGGTGGCTTCTCAAAGCGCTTATATATAAATATTAATCTGACAGAGAGCAGGGTGGTCAGGGCTGTGAAAGCAGCTCCTGTCCTGCTCAGTGTTCGGGGTGTATCTGTCGGGGGGCAGACAGAGCACTTCCGGGTGTGCAGAGAGCCAGAGAGCCCCACGGAGCCCGCAGGCGCTGCGACAGGGCGAGGACGGTGATGGCTAGTCATGGCCAGCCTGTAGCCCGGCCTCATCACAGCTCGGAAGCTCAGCACGGCCGGGCCGGGCCCGGTCCGCTCTGGGACGGGGGGCCTCCACCTCGAGGGAAGACAGCTGGCGGCTGTCAGTAGTGTGGGGGCACCAGTGGGGGGCGCTCTTTCCCCGGCGTGGACATTCCACACCGGGAAGGTGACAAAGGGTGCCGCGCTTCGCAGGGTCCTGGGGTCAGCGGCCATGTCAGCCTGTGAGACTGAGGGCGTTCCACCTGTCCTCCCTCGGGTACCCTCTTAATTCACCTGGTCCCCCCCCGACCTGCTGTGCAGTGGGGCTGCAGCCCAGTGGGGGAGAATGGGGGTCCCCTGTGTTGGAAGCACTCTGGGCTCCTGTGGGATACAGGATACGGATAGCTACCCAGGACAGCGGCTCTGGCAGCTAATTAACCTGAAAAAGGGAGCTGGGCAGCGTGCAGCCTGTCTGTATCCAAGAGCTTCCCGCTCGCACCCTGGACACACTGCCTCTTCATTGGCCTGTGCGCCCCGGGGCCTGGTCCAATGGTCTGAGGGACTGCCTTTGTCCGGGTGCTTGTCAAGCCTCTTCAGGACTGAAGGTATCGAGTTCCTGTGATCTTACTTGTAAAGGGGAGAGGAAAGGCGTTGTGAGACACAAACTAAATCAAAGTGCGTGTTCTGAGAGGCTACACACATCTGTCTGCCGTATACAGAAGACTTTCTGCTGTATCTGAAGCGGCACAGGACGGCGCAGGGAAGGGACGCGGTTCGGGGTTTCTGTGCAGAGCGGGGTCGGGAACACAGGTGCCAGCCGCTGAAGAGGGGCTGGTCAGCGGGACGAATCCCGTCCGGGACTCCGCAGCGGCAGTCTTCCAGGTGCACAACCCTGGAGGCTCTGTGGTGCAACCTGAGCTCGTCTGATTCACCATGCCGGCGTGCCGCTGGTTTCTGGCCACGTTCGCTCGCGCCGCGGCTGTGCTGATTGAATGGGACGTAATGCTACAGCAGCGAAACTGCTTGCACAGCGCACCGGCCCGGCGGGTCCAAACGGAGCCCTGCCTTTTTAAAATGAGCGGATTCGACAGCTGTCACCCCGATGCATTTGAAGCCGCTAGCCTGGCCTTGTGCCCCTGCCAGCGGCGGCCGCACAGTGCTGCTGTCTGTACCGCGGTAAACGTCTGAGCCAGGACTCTGTGCACCGAGAGGCAACAACAGAGCGACGGCTGACATCATTCCCAGCGAGTGAGGGTGGGGGACTGGGTTTGTAGCCTGTGTTTCCCACTGTCCAAGTCACACCCTGACCTGAGCCAGACTCCCACCCAGCCTGCTTGACAAGGAGCTGTTCCTCCAGATCTCTTCTCATGTGTAACTCTAGGACTGTGGGCATGTGCTCTCCCATGCCAGAGCTGTAGCTAAGAGGCATTAGCTATAAGAGGCAAGGAAACTTAAAAACCAGAGTTTGGCCATTCAGACCATTTAGTTTGTTTAGTTGCTAGTTGGTACTTGATCTGAGGATGAAAGCTGTTTCTTGCGAGCAGTCAGTGGATTGGCTGTGTTAATCTTGTTCCAGATTCTTGTTCAGTTCTGTTGAGTGTGTTAAATGCTCTGCTCACCCAGTTCCTGCGATTTTCATGCAACACTGAGCTCGTGTTTCTTACTAGTTGTTTTCATGTGTCCTCATGTACGTGTCAGCACAGGTGTGACTTCCGATACCTGCCGGTAGGACTCATTCTTGAAACGAATCCCAGCTATGGCAGGCTGGCGGGGCACGCAGGACCTGTGCGCGCAGTGTGGGCTGGCATCAGGTAGTGTGATTGCTGTGGCCAGCCCAGCTGTGTAACGGGCAGCTGCTTTATTCAGAGGGAGGTCACGCTTCGCTGGACTATAGTGTTCCCTCCTGGGACAGTCCTGTTGTCCGCAGTTCCTCACTGCTTCAGACACTGGGACAGGCTCTAGAGGGGCCCTGCCAGAGGCTCCCACAGCCCCCAGGTTTCAAGCTCCCCAGAATTTCTGTACAGGAGAAAGGAGTGAAGAAGAAGGTGCAGCTGGGTTTTGGGGGGAGCTGGGTCACTGGAGGGCTGCGGCTGGGGTTGGGATGGGGAGGGGGCAGTGAGCAGTGAGCCCCTGCAGCCCATCTGCCATGGAGGAGGGGGTGTCAGGGTGTCGGAGGCAGGCTATTGTCTGTGGGTTGCCAAGCAGGTGCCCGGCTTGCGCGCAAGGCGCCAAGGACAGCTGGCGGGGGGTGCTCTCTCTTTCTCTCTCTCTCTCCTGCGGCGGACAGGTGTGGAGAGAGGCACTGCACAGAGGGAGGTGGGCCGAGCTGCTGGGAGAACACAAAGACACAGCACAGCACGGGGGAGAGAGAGGAGAGAGAGGGAGAGGAGATGGAGGAGAGGAAGGGAGAGGAGAGAGAGGAGAGAGGAGGAGGGAGAGGGGAGAGAGGAGAAGGGGGGAGAGAGAGAGAGAGGAGCAAGGCCCTTAACCCCAGCTGCTCCAGGGGCGCCGTATAAATGGTGCCGAGGCCCCACTGCAGTCTGTCTCACCTTCACTAAGCACCACGACCACCACCCTCATCATCATCATCATCATGCCTTCCTGCCCCAGTTCCTACCCTGTCCTCGGCTCTGTGTGGTGGTAGGTGAGGAGGAGGAGGAGAAACGGCTATTTGCCCCAGGCCCATGTCTGCTGAAACCCCGCCTCTGCCCCGCTGGGGTCAGCAGCTCCACCCGACGGAGGATCTTATGATCTTCAACCCAATCACCCGCGTCATCTGCGTCTCGACCTTTTTCTTTATTCTGCTCAGGTAAGTAAGGCTCATCTCCTCTGCTCTGGCGTACATAAAGCACTCTGGGGGGTCCCTACCGCGCGGCGCGGCGCGGGCGTGAGGGGGGGCAGCCGCAGCGGGGGCAGGTCCTGCAGCGCCCCGCCCTGCCCGGTCGCCCAGTCCAGCTCCAGGCGGCCGTAGTCGCTCTCCCCCTCGGGGTCCAGGGTGAGGGCGCTGAGGCGCCAGGGCAGGGGCAGCTCGTGCTGGAAGCGGGCCGGGGGTCTCTCCCGGGGGTCTCGCAGGCCCACCTTCCACAGCACCCTCTGCCCCGGCGTGGGGTCCCGAGCCGGCGGCCGGAGAGGGGGCGGCCTTGGGGGGGCGCGGGAGACTGTGGGCACCGAGTCCAAAGACCAGCCTGCCCCTTTCTGCACTTTCGGGGAGCGGAAGCCGTAGCGGGAGATGAGTTTGTACAAGCTGTCCCTCCAGGTCTCGGGGTCCCCCTCCTGACCCCCCCACCTGAGACACGAGGGTCCGGCCCGGCTGCCCTGGGGCCAGGCTGCATCGCACGGGGTGGGCGGCGGGGCAGCCTTCACCCTCCCGCCCTCCTCTTCCTCGCCCTCCTCCCGCGGGGACGGCAGGGCCCGCCGCCGCCGGGACCGCACCCTGGTGACGTAGACGCGCAGCGCCGTGGGGTCGTCGCCCAGGCCGCCCTGGCAGGGCAGGGGGGCCGGCCCAGCACGAGCCTCCCGGACGCCCTCCTCCCTCCTGCGCCCGCGCCTCTGGGTGCGGGCAGGACTCTTAACCCGAGTCGAGGTGTCATCTTTAGTCACTGCCCGGCCCCTGGGTGCCGTCCGGACTGGCTGTGGGGCAGCCTTCCAGCCTGCGCCCGAGTCTGCTCGTCCTGAGGCGAAGAGAGAGGAAGCAGACAGTTACAGCCCTGTCACCCTACAGCTCCGCAGGGTGAGCCTGGCCAGTACCTGGATGGGAGACTCCTGGGAAAGCTAAGGCTGCTGCTGCAAGAGGTGTTAGTGGGGCCAGCAGGGGGCGCTCACGCTGTGGTCTGTGTGGGTCCTAATGCTCCAGTATAGTGACGAGGACACTAGACTGTAAAAAGGTGCTATCCTTCGTATGAGACATAAAACCGAGGTCCTGACTCCCTGAGGTCATTAAAAATCACATCATCCAGGTGGGGCTGCACACTGGTGGTGGTGGAGGGGATCCCCATTACCTGTAAAGTGCTTTGAGTGGAGTGTCCAGAAAACTGCTATGTAAGTGTGAGGAATTAATTCATTAAAAACAACAGCATTGTTTTCCGATCTGCTGCACTCTTCCCATCGGAAGGATCCCAGGCCGCTGTGCAGGGAAGGAGAGACGTGCCTTATCCCTCTCCCTCCAGCGCCACTCGGCCAACACGGCCCAGACCGCAGCGAACAGAGCGACTGCAGTCACAGCTCCTCACGGGTCAGCTGGCAGAGAGCACTTCTCCTTCGCTCACGCAGGGACAGAGGGGCCGTGTGTGACGGCTCTCCGGCTTCAAGCTGAATTCCGAGCTGTCTCTCGGGACAGTTCCACTCTCTTCCCCTTGCTCCCATTACAATTGCGGGTCTTTTTCCTCCGTGGTCCTCCTCACAGGACCTCTCTGGGACTTCCCTTTACAGACGAGGGATTCCTGCCACAAGCGCAGCTCGTCTTTTCCCCCCCTGCTCTAGAAATACAGACACGCAGGCCTTGGGCTCTGAGCGTCCCCTCACTACCTGCGTTCAGAAACAAACTGGCAGCTGCTGTGTTTCTAAATGCAGGAGCTGGCACTGCCAACTCCTGAATTCAGGGCAAAACAATTAGGTTACCTTTTTTTTTAGTTGTAGGAGAACGGGTGTTTAAGGGAGCCCAGTCTGCTTTGGTTTTAAAGGTTAAGCAAGGGGTAAAAGGAGGCTCCGCCTCTGCAGCAATGTGATCCACTTCAGATCTTACAGGCTACCTGTGGCAGAATTGTGTAGGCAGACGTGTTTTCATTGATAGAATCTGGCACAAGAACCCAGCTGCCAGCAAATCCTGAAGTGGATCAGACTGCCGTGAAACAGGAGTCTTAACGTGTCATTCCTGCAGCGTGTGACCGGGCTGTGGAGCAGAGCTGGCGGTCAGCTCAACTGACAAAGGAGGAAGAAGGCTGGCGCTGTACCTTGCTCCTCTCTGGGGACGCTCGTCGTGTCTCCGGGGATGTCCACTGTAAGATGAGCACAGAGATTCACGGGTTTGTGAATGCAGCCCATTTCCACCTCATAGCAACATGCGGCGGGGCTCAACACCGCCCCCTGCCCTCTCCAGAATCTCACTGCTTCTGCCCGCCTCTCGGCTTGCCTGCTTGCCCTCGTGTCCCATGATGCCTGATGATGACAGGCAAAACAACACGTCTGTCTCAAGGGACTCCTCCTTTAAAGGAAGTGGTAGACTCTGGAGGTGAAGGCATACTCTTTTGCCAGTGCTAATCAGCTCAGTTTACAAGCCCCCGTCCAGCCCCAAGTCAGGGCCGTTGAACACTTATCAATTGCATGACGTCCTCTATGGAAGGTGTGATCACGTGAGAGAGGTCTCAGGCTAAAGGAGAGGCACACAAAGCTCAGATTCGCACTTGGGGGATGTGGGCATTGATCCTGCTGCCTCTCGCCTGCTAAGCAAGCGCTCTACCATGTGAGCTAATCTCTACCATGTGGTGCACTAACTCATTTCAGGCATGTCGGGGCGCTGGCGGAGTGAGGGGGGGACCGGGGTACCTGAGAGGATTCGGCTGGAGGTCCGATCCGGGGCATCTGTGGGTGAGGCTGCCCGCTCCGAGGGCGCGAGGCCAGCGTCCTGGGGCACTGCCAGCTCCAGCTGCTCCGTCAGGTTGTCCTGGACCTGCTGCAGCAGCTGGGAGGGGAACGGGGGTCTGTGGGGATGGAGTGGGCAGAGTGGGCCTTCATGAGAGGGGCGCCGGCTGTTTTCCTCCGCCGCTAAACCAGGGATCTAATCCCGTCCGGCCCCAGCTCGTCTTCGCTTCTCTTGTCTTAAAGGGGACCTGCCGTCCCCAACGTCTCCGTAACAAAATCAAGTCATTGACAGCATAGAACAAAAATTAACACATTTTGAATTAGCCACAAAATCATGGACTCTGTGAAAGTACTGTAAGTCGCCATGTTGTTGCAAACCGCTGGGAGAGATCGCAAGAAGCCCTTCCTGCTCGCTAGTCACTGTCATGACTAATGAAGATGCGAAGTACGAGCGAGTGGTACAGCAGACATTTCACTGCAGAAATGTTCCATCGTGATAGCATGAGAGTTAACAAGGTACGCCGTGTTTGTCGGCAAAAACGATCTTGAATTAGAGAGCAGAATTTCTATTGGATTAAAAGATGCATTCTCAAGCCTGCTTGTTTACAGTGTAATAGTGCCACGTTCTGAATTGCGGAACATGGTGCTGCGTGTACCTGGAAAATTTTGGCTATTTCATGATGTAAATTGGAGGTTTTACAAATTACTTGATGATGACGTTTTACTTTTAGTGTGGTATGAAATGCCCTTATCAATGCTGATTCTTCCCAACCCTGAAATATTATAGTAGCAGTTCCCCTTTAAGGTTTGTGGAGGTGTGCATGTGTGGCCAAGAGACACCGTGGTTTCATCTGGGCCAGGCTGCAGGATCTGCACCTCTCGTTCCGGGAATTCGGGCTTTGAATACATTTGCATGTTTTGTAGCGTTAACGTGTGTGCAGTGCTAAACAGAAAGGCTGCTCTCCTTCCTGCAGCCTGCAAGCCTGTAAAACAGGAACTGGCCCTGCGACAGGTGAGCCTGCTGCACTTACAGCGCAGTCCGCATGGTCTCCAGCCTCCTCAGCAGCACGGTCTTCTCTGAGATCATGGCCGCCTTGCTCAGGAGCTGCCTGACCAGCGCGCGCACGGCCGCCTGGGGGTCCAGCAGGGCCCGGGCCTGGTGAGGCAGGACGCTGGCGGAGAGCAAGGAGAGCAGGTCCAGGCTCCTCCAGCCCTCCAGGCGCCGCCAGTCGGGCTCCTCCGGCTGGGTGTGGCCCAGCAGGCTGGCCTGCACGCGGTCCCGCAGGTGCGGGGGGATGGCGTAGGCCTGGCAGAGCCTCAGCAGGGCCGAGGCGCACCTCTGGTACACGGAGACGCAGGACTGAGCCATGCAGCGCAGCAGAGCGCCGACGACGCTCTCCAGATCGATCACCTGGGGCTTCGTGGACAGCCAGGGACTGTTGGCGATCTGAGTCAGCAGGTCTTCCTCCACTGGAAGCTCCAGTTCCAGTCCCTGGACCTCGATCCCCGGGCCTGGCCTGGCGCCCTTCCTCCCCTTCAGAGCCTGCTCTCTCCTCTTCCTCTTGCTGTCACCCAGGAGCAGGGTGTCCGAGGACTCAGAGCGGGTCTCCCGGAGATCCTGCAGGTGCCTGAGGAAGGACCTGGACTCCTCCCTGTCCGGGTCAGGGGTGTCCCCGTCTCGACGGCCCCAGCCCCGGATCACCGAGTTGGGGATGAAGCCATCTGGGGCGATGGGCCATTCTGGGAGAACGGGGGTCATGCAGGGAGTCTGGGGCTGGGGTTGGCTGGTTGGCAGCACGATGCTCCCCAGTACAGCCTCCTCCCCGACCGGGGCCTGCCCAGCTGGCTCTGGGACGACTCCTGAAAGAGAGAGGCAGGGGGCGCTGTGGGGCAGCTAGAGGAGAGGAAACCCGTGAACAGCCTTCAGAGCTTTTTCCTCCTGTGTTGTCGTTGTGATAAGGTAAAGATGTGGCTCTAGTAGTAGATGGCACAGGTGAGGAAAAAGGAAATTGTTCGTTTTTTTCTGCTGAGTTGAAGCACGAATCGAAAGCTGGGCTGGGGTTTGTTTTGAAACATGTCGTGAAACATCTCGACAAACAAAGCCGCCCCCAGGCTGTGCCAAAGGGGGGTTAAGGCCTGGAGGGAGGGGGGGCAGTAAAGGTAACGGGACAAACCTGGTCTGGAGTCCGGCTCCCGGGCAGTGCCAGTCTTCGGCGACGCCTGCGCTTCCTTCTGCCTCTGCAGGCTGATCCTGGATCTCTTCCGGGGCCTTTCCGGCTTGCTGCTGATGCCAGGGCCGACAGGCGCCGGCTCCGCACCGGGCCGGGGCGCCGCGTCGCCCCCCAGGGATTCGAGGTGGTACCTGGGCAGGACGGTCACCTGGGCGTCCTCAAGGGGGACGGGGCGGAAGGGCAGGGGGTCTTCCACGGCGTCGTCCTGCCCCTCCTGCCCCAGCAGGGCGCCCAGGTAGCGGGGGGGCAGGAAGCGGAGGCTGGGGAGGAGGTAGGTGTTGCCGTTGACGTTGGCCAGCAGGTCGCCCCTGGGGTTGGCAAAGCACACCTGGCTCAGCCGCGCCCCCAGGGTGATTTCGGCCAGGAGGGTGGCGGCCGAGTCCCACAGCTCGACGGTGCCCTCCGGCCCCGCCGTCACCACCAGCCCCAGGGCCGCGCAGTAGTCCAGCGAGGTGATCGGGGGGGCGCCGGCCCGCTCCGGCTCCACGGCCCGGCCCGTCGGCCCGAGGAACAGCAGGGCGTGGTCCCGGGTCACCGCGCAGACCTGCCCCGGCAGCAGCCGGGTGTAGAGGAGCGGGCGCGAGCAGCGGATCCGCGCCAGCGGGAGGAGGTCTGCGCGGCGCCGCACCCAGCTGACCCGCCACAGGCTGAGCAGGTGGTCCGTGCCGTAGCAGCACAGCTGGGCCTGGCGCCCTCCCGGCAGGCTGCTCATCTGCACCACGGCGCCGTCGTGGGCCTTCCGCGCCAGGGCGTGGCGCCGGGGGGGCGACAGCAGCGAGACCCTGCCGTTCCTGTGCCCGCCGAGGACCAGGCAGGGCTCGCCGGGCGAGGTCACCGCCTCCAGGCACAGCACCCCGTCCTCGCGCTCCCCGGACGTGGACAGGAAGTGCTTGGCCGGGCACGGGCACCTCGCGGCGTCCAGCACCAGGACGTCGGCCGAGCCCGTCGCCACGAACAGCTCTTCCCGACCGGGGTCGTAGGCGTAGTCCAGGGCCTCCTCCAGCAGCAGGAAGGGCCAGGAGAGGAGGACCATCTGCCCGGTGACGGGGCACAGGAGCCGGACGCCGCCGTCCTGGGTGACCGCCAGCAGCCGGGCGCGCCCCGGCCCGCACTGCACCCGGGAGATCCGCCGCAGCGGGCAGCCGGTGGCGTTGAAGAGGCGGCAGATGCCCGGCAGGCTCCAGACGGAGAAGGCGCAGGGGGAGGCGCACACGAAGCGGTCCTCGCCCAGGGGCAGCAGCTGCGCCACGCCGGCCGGCTCGGCCAGCAGCTGGCGCAGCAGCTCGCCGGCGCGGCTCCACTCCCTGACCCAGCCGTCCGCCGAGGCCGTGAGGCAGGTGCCGGCGGCGGGGGGCAGCAGCAGGCCGGTCACGGCGCGGGCGTGCGCGCGGAACTCCTGCAGCAGGCCGCGCGTGTCCCAGCTCCACACCTGCACGCAGCCGGCCGAGTCCCCGGTGTACAGGTGCCGCTGGGCCGCGCAGGGGGCGCAGCACAGCAGGGTGCCGCGGCTGGCGCCCGCGAAGGCCCGCGTCTCCTGCTTGGTGAGGCAGTCGAAGGCCCGGACGGCGGCGCCGCAGAGGGCGAACAGCGAGAGAGACTGCCTCTCGGTGGCCAGGCCGCGGACGAAGGTGTCCCGCCGCAGGGAGCAGCAGCTCCAGTCCAGCAGGCGCGTCACCCCGATCGGCTGCTGCGGGCGGGGCCAGAAGCCCCAGAAGGCGATGAGCCCCACGCCGCCGGTGACGACCTCGCCCGTCTCCTGGCTGTAGTGCATGCTGGTGACGGAGCCAGGGCAGGCCGCCCGTTGCAGGAGCCCCACCTGCTGCTTGAGGTCTCCGTACAGGCGCAGCGCCACGTCGCTGCAGTACCCCACGAACAGCCGCTGGCCGGGCACGAACAGCAGCCGCTCCACCAGGTAGCCCCCCTCCAGCGGGAAGCTGCCGAACCGCGACATCTCCCTCTCCTCGGTCTCCACCCAGGCCTCCATCTGCAGCAGACCGACAGGCGTGCAGGGGGTTGCACCTTCCTGCCCCGCGGTCACGGCCGGAGGCCAGGCCTCGTCTCTCGGTGCAGGGAGACGCACCAGCGTCGGCAGGCGAGAACGGCAGGGAGGAGCACCTCCTGTCTTGTGTTGGGGTGAACAGGACACAGACGGCGAAGGCCCCTGGGCAGCTCTCCAGCTGTGACGGACGTGTGTATTAAGTGTGTATTTCTTTACCGAGAGAGTAAAAACTCTCTGCCTGCACAACGGACACTGTCTACCAGTACCACGTCCGCCACACAACCCGGAGCCCAAGACAGAGCACACTCAAACACCTGTTTCTTGTAGTAGGCCCTGCTCAACACGGTTAATTATACCCCGCGTTCCAGCGGCAGCGCGCGCTTACCCGGTGCTGCTCCAGCGCGTGCCCCCACAGGAAGCCCACGGCCACGCGGCTGTAGCTGGAGCTGTGCACGGCCAGGCAGCGCAGGTAGCCCGGGGCGCAGCTGCCGCGGAACGTCATCGCCGGGCTGGCGTCCAGGAACACCGCCTCCTCCTCCTCCTCCTCGTCCGGCCACCCCGAGGTGTCGCGCGCCTGTCGGGGGTACAAGCACTCAAACCTGGGGCACTCTCTCGCGCCGCAAACCCGCGTCGCTTCGCGGGGTCTGCGCTCGGGGTTGTGTAAAATTCACACTCGTGACAGCCGTGGCTGCAGGGCAGGTCGCTCCGTGGGGGATCGGAAGCGCGTTGAGACGCGCGTGGAGATCGGCCCGGCAAGGCAGCCAGCGGTTACCCCGTTTCCGCACCCGTCTGTCACGCGTGGATCCCCAGCCTTACCCGAGACGCCTGTATCTTCTGTTTTATCTGCGGAAAGAGCGATTTCCACTCGGGGACGATTCTCTTCATGTTGGCCACCCCACCCGAGATAACAGCTCCGAGGCTCTGCGCTCTGTCGCGCTGTTCTCTGGAATCCGCCGTGGGCGAACCGAGTTCGTCACAATAACACAACGACAAGAACTGCTTTTGAAAAATGCACCTTTTTAATTAATTCGGAAACAGAAGACCGGCGCGGTGTTTTTTTTCTCTTTCCGCGAGTCCACGCTGTGTTCCGCTGATTCCCCCCGTGATTTTTCACGGCTCAGTATTTTAATGCTGCACAGGTGCCACGCGAGGGCGCAGTGGACCAGGAGCAGAAGCTGAGGGCCCACAGGCCGATCCAGTAATTAATTACAGTCCACTGCAGGACCTGTGTTTCATTCATTATATGTCCTGTATGGAATAACTATATCATATTAGAATCAATACACTCTCGCATTTATATGCTATATATGTCATCATTTACTTGTGTCAACATTTACACGATTTACTCGTGGAATGTTTGCAATCATTGTACAATGACGTTTCAGAGTCTGCTCCTGAAGACACACCTGGAAGAGTCCTGCTCTTGTAGACACTTGGACGAGTCTGCTCCTGAAGAAACACCTGGAAGAGTCCTGCTTCAGTAGACACACCTGGAAGAGTCCTGCTCCTGAAGACACACCTGGAAGAGTCTGCTCCTGAAGACACCTGGAAGAGTCCTGCTCCTGTAGACACTTGGACGAGTCTGCTCCTGTACATACCTGAGTCTGCTCCTGAAGAAACATCTGGAAGAGTCTGCTCCTGAAGACATACCTGGAAGAGTCCTGCTTCAAAAGACACACCTGGAAGAGTCCTGCTCTCACACACTTTCTGTGCTTTACGCTTTCCAGTCTCTTCTGAAGAAACAGCACCATGCTTGTGTTTTTCACCTGAGCGCATGTGGGTTCAAGGTTGCACATGGCTGCACGTGGAGAAGAGGAAGAGGGATGGAATGGAAAGAGCCTGTCAGTGTGGGTCCTCAGAAACGTCCTGGAACCTGGTGACCTAGATTGGACCCTGTTCTAAATGAAGTCTTGCTGATGATGTTTTACCATCACACACCTTTGCCTGAAATGAAATGTTTGTGTTGCACATGAGATTTAAATGTTACAGGATGTTCTGGACAAAAGACCTTTTTCATAGAATAATAACTTCGGTCCTTTATTTCACACTCTGCCGTCCCACTTCCTCTGGACCCCCTGATGTTATCTGTGTTATTATCTCTGGACCCTAATGTCCTGTTTGCTTCTCTGATTGCTCCCCTGCGGTCTGCAGAAGATGAAAACAGTTTCTGAACCATCCGTACGGGGGTCTGCAGTGAGCCATCTGTTTTGTGCTGCCCTGGGGCAGTTGTTTCTCCAGATCGGGGCTCTGGGCACGAAGGCCCAGCTGTATCAGGAGGAGAGCATTGCTCAGAGTGTGCTCACTGACCCGTTAATTCCCGTTAAGACGCTGGGCCGCTGACTTGCCCGCGTGCGCGGTTCTCTTTCCCCATGCAGGACGAGAGACGAGTACTGCTCTGGTCCTCACTGTGCCCGGCGCAGCGCTGTCCTGTTGGTGCAGCACGGACTGTGCTCAAGGTGTTTTTATTTTAAAAGACAGTTTTAACAAAGGGCTGCTCAGGGATGCAGCGGAGGCCTGGGTGAATGGCTTCTGTCTTCAGGCCAGGCGGCAGCCTGTGAGGGGCTTTTGCTTTGCTCAGCTGGTGCTCGTGTGTACGTGCCTGAGCCCCAGGGTGGCATGGCTCTGGCTGGTGGGGGGGCCTTCTCCCGTCCTGGCAAAGCTGCCCCCCCTCCACACCGGCCCAGGGCAGCAGGGTTATTTCCGGCTGACAGCTCGGTGGGAATTTGCAAGTGTACATGACTGAGCACGGGGAGGCGGGTGGGCTGACAGCCCTCTGAACTGATGCGTCCGGACAGGGAGGCTAATCCGGCAGACACAGACATCAGCAGGGAGCGGGCCGGACCGGAGCTCCGGGACACGGACTGTCTGCCCGCTCACCCCCCCCACTCGCACGACCCACCCTCCCAGCTCCTGGGCAACAGGGCCACTCGGCGCCGATTCCGAAACCGGGCTCACCCTCAGCGCGCTCGGACCTGCAGGCCAGCCTGGAGTCGATCGCCGCAGCTGAGGCACCCTGGCGGCTGTGCTGGGGGTCAGGGCGACTGGCCTACCCCGAGCCTGTGACCTTCACACCCGAGGGAAACGGCCCTGCGGGGGCAACTGAACTGTTAGCAGGTGAGCGGCTTGTAAATATAGCGTTGTTCTGGAGACGAGCGCACTCATCCCTTCTGACACACCCAGGAAGAACAACAGCACAACCTCTCTCTGCCTCTGTCATCAGCGCTCCGACGTCGCTCCCTGCCCCAGATCAGACTTTAAGCAGCTGTTTATTGACTTTTTTTAATTGCTGCGTGCTCGCCGTTTTACACTCCTGAATTCTAATCCTTTACCGTGGCTGGCCCATGATGCTCTGCTCCCTGTAATTGCGGTGCCCTGTGCAGGGGCTAGGACACGTGCGATGGCAGCAGGTCGGGTGAGGGGAGACGGCGCGCTGTTCGGGCAGCCGCCTGCTCCCTGCCGGACGGTCTCCAAGGCGAGGGTCTGTCCCGGGACCAGCAGGCAGGGTGGCAGTGAGTCAGCAGTGCAGCCTCAGTGAGAGACACCTGCCAGTCAGGAGCTCTGTGTACAGAAGGTTTGCAGTCTAGTGACAGGTGGTACCTGGCTGGTTATGGTCTTGTTGTAATGATCTTTAAATAATTGCTTACACTTATATAGCGCTTTTCTGGACACTCCACTCAAAGCGCTTTACGGGTAATGGGGACTCCCCTCCACCACCACCAGTGTGCAGCATCCACCTGGATGATGCTCCAGTACTCTCACCACACACCAGCTCTCAGTGGGGAGGAGAGCAGAGTGATGGAGCCAGTTCAGAGATGGGGATTATTAGGAGGCCATGGCTGGTAAGGGCGAGGGGGAAATTTGGCCAGGAGACTGGGATAACACCCTTACTCTTTTCATCTGATGGATGGCACCTTTTTTCTTACAGTATAGTGTCCTCATCGCTATGCTGAGCCCACACAGACTGCAGGGCGAGCTTCCCCTACAGGTTCCACTAACACCTCTTCCAGTAGAACCCTTAGTTTTTCCCAGGAGGTCTCCCATCCAGGTGCTGGCCAGGCCCACACCTGCTGAGCTCCCAGTGGGAGATATGGCTGCTGGCTTGTTCTGTTCACAAGGGTTTCCTTCTGGCTCTGCAGTTTCCTCCTGCAGTTCAAATACGGACCAGCAGGTGTTAGTGTGTCTGTGTCTGCCCTGTGATGGAATGGGGACCCATCCAAGTTGCACCCTGCCTTGTGCCCATTTCTTGTTGGGATAGGCTCCGGCTTCTCCCGCGACCCTGAGCTGGATGAACTGGTTAGAAAATGGATAGAGATGGGTGGAGAATACGGATTAACTGCCCTTAAACTTTTTGGAAATGCTGTAGTCATGCAGCTATAGGGAGGCAAGAGAATGGGTGCCCTCTAGCGGAGGTCCGGTGTACTGCAGGCCGGTGGCTGTGGTGCGCACAGGCGCAGTGCAGACTCGCTGGAGAGGGAGAAGGCTCTCTGGTTACGGAGCGGCTGGTCTGTGTTTCAAGCCGCGATAACACGAGCAAACTGGAATTTCTACCTGACGGGCTGACAGATTTTTAACTGGATTACACGTTTAAGGACCGAGGGGAGCTTTGACGGTAAGCTTGCAGACGTCGGGCGTGCTTTAAGTTGGGATAATGTATTCTTTTCTGAACTGTGATAGTAGCAGCAGTGTGAGCAAACTCAAGCGCACACACTCAGTTCGTTAGGTTTTTTCTTACTAGGTATTTGTCGAACTTTATGATATGTTCATTCTTTTTTCAGTTCCACCTTATGGATCAACATGACTGGGCGTTTCTGTGTAACTTTGCACTTATTTCGTTTCCTCCTTTCAATAGTCTGTTCTTTTAAAATGCCTTTTTTTCCCTATTTTATTATACTGGTCCTTCCTGATCTGTTCGATAGCATTGAGCAGGCGCTGTGTATTTTGGCATCCTGGGGCTTGTAGTTTTTGACCGCCCGGTTTCATTGTCTTGGCAACGGGTGCTTCCGCTTCGTCGAACTACACATCCCATGGGACAGTGCTGCTGCGCTTGCCATATGTCATTTCTACTTGGCAATGTAAATAGCGAGTTTTCAATCATTGGTAAAGTAAGGACGGTCGGAAGTGAAGGAGTGTATGTGGCGGAGTGCGTGTTTAACGAGGCTTGAAGAGAACAAAGTTTCGCTAACGCGTATGAAGATGTGGAACTGAGCGTAAACATTCAGTGGATTTCGCAGGAGTGTGTGGGTTGCCTGACCTGAAACGTGTCGGTAGCTTTCTCACGGGATAGCCCCCTCGCTGCCACCGCCTGCGGCTGACATGCAAACCGCTGGGCTAATGACACAAATGCGGGGCCCGGGGCGGCCGGCCGGCACGGTGCCGTGACTAGCTCGTGTCGCCGGGCTGGGCTCGGAGTTCCGAACCGCCTCGCCCGCGCCGGGTCCGGGCTCGGTTCTGCAGGCTGTGAAGAAGGAGGAAGAGGAGGGGGCAAGGGCAAGGCGCGCGATCCGACTACCTGTCAGGCGGCGCGGGAGGAAGGTGTGTGTGGGGTGGGGTGGGGTTGGACCAGGCGCGTGAACAGGGCTCGCCACGCCACGCCACGGGAGCCCGGGACTCGCCCAGAGGTCCCGGTTCGCCGCCGGGGCTTGTGGCGGGCGGGCGGGCGAGCCGGTCCTGGGAAGAGCGGCGAGGAGCTAACGCCGGGAGTGCTGTCTGTGCCGGCGTGTCGCTCTGCATTTGTCACGCTGAGCCCCCCCGACTTCCGACCTTCACCTCGAGGAAATAACACGCCACATCCTAAAATAGGTCCTATCTGATAATACGCTGGAGGTCCGGCAGGAGAACTTGAACATTAAGTGCATTTGTCACTAGCAATCGCGCCAGCTTTGCCATACTTTTCACTCGGAGACCGATTCCAGCGTTTTAGTTTTTTTTTTGTTTTTAAGGCGTTTGTTTCTTGTGGTTGTGATCCGTGGTCTTCTCC